TGGCCTCAGTCCCATCCCCCTCAAACATACAAACACATTATGCACTCTGAGTCAAATGTAGGCATACAGGACATGCAGAGTTACACTACTGCATAAAAAGGCAACCTCATTTACTCTGATCATTATGTTGCTTCTTAAGATCACATTAGAATCATATTAGAATCACATTCTTACCACCACTCATAGTGCCTCCCCTCTAACTGCCTAGGAATTGTGCATTTAATTATAATTTGTGAGGCTCTGCATGTACCTGCAGTTGTAAAAAGAAAACTGCACTGGTATGATTAGTATAATTGTTGCTAACAGCATTGGTAATACTAATCTATATCCTGTTTCTACTTCTCTTTCCTGTTTCTTGTTCTGCTGTAATACTAAATGTTCTTCCTTGAATATATATGGGTCTCATTTTAACAACAGATAATTCTGCTAATTTCTGTTCAGCTAAATGTTAGCTTCCATCATTGTCATTGTTATGTATGTTAATATTCACCTTTCCATGTTAGATGGTTGATTTATTTTATTGACACACAGTAGTGTTAGGACGGCTGAACATCTAGGTCACTGCTGTATTTCGTTTTCCAGACTTAAATTTTGCTTACTTAAGCATTTCTACTGTAGTGCTGAGTCAATGCTGATCAGCTGTAATGCCTGATAGAATCCACCTGGTGTCGCTGTTGTTACTAGCTATATTCAATCCTTAGTTATTGTGAACTAAAATCAGAATCAGAATCAGAATCTGCTTTATTGGCCAGGTGTGTTGGACACACGAGGAATTTGACTCTGGTACAGCGGCTCTCAATGTGTACATACATATCAACAAGCAAAGGAATGTGTATTAGGAAAAGAGATTAAAAAAAATAAGAGTAAAGTATATATATATATGTACAGTCTGGATATAACGGATCCATATGTACAATGTATATTTACAGGTAATGTACTGAGGAATGGTAAAATTAAGAGATACTTGGCGGTTTTGAGTTATTTTTCCCTATGTCTATATATAACTTCACTTTGATTGTGGTATATCATCTCCACAGCAATAATTGATGTACTGTATATTTGTTACTGTGATGGAGACAATGAGAATAACTTGCAAGTCATCATAATCAGCAATGTAACTTTAATATTTTATTTCCTCTTTTGCTCTGTAGAACCACACACATACACCCATATACAGCCAATAAAGTGGATAGAATTATGCAAGTATCCAGTCTTGTGTCCTGACTGACACCCAGTGGTAAGCATCATATTCCATCAGCTAAGGATTGATCTCCTTTCCCTCACCTATACTCACTGAGCTCAAAAATCTCTTTTTCAACAGGATTCTGGCCATAAGTTATCATTTGTAAGATATCTTTTCCATACATGCTCGTATTTTCTTCCTTATGGACTGTTTATTAGCATTTGTTATTGTCTGTGTAAATATCACCTATTGTCAGCAGTCAGCACATTTATAGGACTTTATTAATCATATGTGAGCCATTCATCATAAGTGGTTTATTGATGATGATGTGGATACACAAATTACTGTAAATACAGCCATGACAAATAAGAACTCTGGCCGGTTGTGATGTGGTCAGAGCTGGGGTCTGTGGGGGCACTGTAGCATGAACACAGGAGGGGTAGTAACATTTTGGCAAAATGTTACAAGTATTACACTGTTGAGCCTATTTAAAAAAGGCCACTGACTGAGCTGGGTTCATATTTTACATGTTCCTGTCAGTGGCCAGTGCAGTCAGTCTGTAGTAGGCCTATTTCCATCATATCATGAACTTAACCTTCTGCCAGAATTTCTATTTCAAATTAGCTGTGACAGTAGGCTTTCACTTAAATACATGTTCAAATATTCATATATTTGAATAACATACCTTGGTTAATATATTGATTAAAATACAGTTTAAAACATACTTAATGTCATTTTCATGACATAACTTTAAGCACACAATTTTTGTGTGTGTGTACACAACAAAGTTAAATAGGCTATACAGGTTAAAAAAGATAGTGGTCCGGTTATTCTCATGTGAACTCCAACCTCTGTGTCTGCAACTTGTCTGTATGCAAATACTCCTACTCCTTAAGCCAATCAGGATGCTCCATTGTATCAATTTCCGGAAGCCAACTTCCAATAGGAGAGCCGGATTTGTCTCGTTTCCACTGTCGGCCATAATGTCTGCAGTCTACGAAGCCCAGAGCCGGTAGCTGGCAAGTAAGGCTTTTATTGTTTATAATGAAATGTGTGTGGAAACACAATGTTATCATATAGGCTAGAGATTTCGCCGTTATTTTAAGGTACCATATGTAATATTGTTTCACGCAATTTGTTGTGTGTACTATTTGCTGTTGTTGTGTGCTGGCCGGAAACCGTTTGGAGGCAGGGCTGGAGGCGGCTGGAGCGACGACGACCCGTCCTGCAGCATCCGCACTCATCTGTGATGTTTCTCAACCCCTGCTGCTCCGTCCTCTTAACATCCCTCTCTGCAAGTGACACCTTCAGATTCAAAGATCGCTAATCATTCATCCATAGCTTAAATGACACCCCGAAGCTGCAAAATGCCGTTCCTTTAAATGTTCCTCCTTGGTATCATCGTGCCGATTATCCCCGCCTGGCACGCGGGACACCGGGCTCCGATTCCTCGACGGGGAGATGACAGTGCCTGTCACCAGTGACGTGCGGTGAGGTTGACAGCTGAGGAACAAATATTACAGTCAGATTTACAAATACAAATGAACCGTTAACAAATTCTCTGTTAACAGACAATGCGTTATGTATTATATCTCTAATCAGCATTCTTCACACAAACGTGACCCATATTTAATTTGAGGTTAAAATTTATTCCAATTGAGCTTATTTCTAACTAGAAATAATAAAAGTTTATGGTCTTACCTTTACTTGTACACGAAATCAATTTGTCAGCTGGTATGTATTACAAACCCTTTTACCGTTCGAATCCAATATTAAAACAAATGTTTTCAATAAAGAAGATCCTTCTGGACAAAAATGTCC